ACACCATGGTTGTTCAGTGTTCTCCTGATGATGGGCTCATCAACATTAACATTAGCCAATGTGAGAAAGGCCTTCAGTTGCTTAGAAGTTAGCCTGCAGTCCTTTGAAACCTAGTGGACTTTTACACGTCTTGCTTCTAGAGTGTTCTTTGTTGGTGGACCACTCCTGGGGAGGGTAACAGTGGTCTTGAATTTCCTCCATTTGTACACAATCTGTCTGACTGTGGATTGGTGGAGTCCAAACTCTTTAGAGATGGCTTTGAAACCTTTTCTAGCCTGATGAACAACATCAACTCTTTTTCTGAGGTCCTCAGAGATCTCATTTTTTGTGCCACAAACACACTTCCACAAACATGACCAAACTTTGATAGATCCCTGTTCTTTAAATAAAACAGGACACACACTGTCATCTGATAGTCATCTCACTGATTAAAAACACCTCTGAACAGATGGACTCTTAATTTCACCTTCAAGTTAACAGCTAATCCTAGAGATTCACATACTTTTGGCGCTCACAGATATGTAATATTGGATCATTTTCCTGAATAAATAAATGACAAAGTATTTTTTTCTCATCTGTTTAATTGGGTTCTCTTTGTCAACTTTCAGGACTTGCATGAAAATCTGATTATGTTTTGGGTCATATTTATGCAGAAATAGACAATTCTAAAGGGTTCACAAACCTTCAAGCAGCACTGTATCTCTCATTCTTGTTGTCTTCTGAATACCGTTAAATATAATTTTTTGTAGACCGTATTTGTTTGTAAACATTCAAAAAAAAAGTTTTGTTGTCGTCTTGTTGATTTTTTTATATATAGTCCCGTGATTTTATGCGCTCACAGATATGTAATATTGGATCATTTTCCTGAATAAATAAATGACAAAGTCTTACTCAGTAAAAGAGTAAGACAGAGAGAAAGTTATAAAGACTGACAAAGAGACAGTAAGACATACAAAAAGAAATAGAAAGTGCAATGCAAAGCTGTGTCAATCAAACTTATGTGCATCTAAAAACTGCCCTGGGTTTGACCATGAGTATTATTTTGTGTGTGTGTGAGAGAGAGAGAGAGAGAGAGAGAGAGAGAGAGAGAGAGAGAGAGAGGGCGAG